CTCGCGGCCCACCCCGCGGCGCTCCTCAGCGACGGCGACGGGGAGGAGCACTTCATCGAGAAGCCCGCGTGCGAGGAGCGTGAAGGGCAGGCAGGGCAGCAGGAGCCCAAGGCCATCGGGTTCGAGCTGGATGACGGGGAGGAGCACTTCGGCGCGCTGCGGGGCGCCATGGGGGTTGCCCAAGGACGACGAGAAGGACCAGAACGAGCTGGAGGCCCACGTGTCGGGTGACGGCGCGGGGGACGAGCAAGGCGGCGGTGCGCGGGCGTCGTGCAAGGAGCCGCCGAGCATCATCAAGGAACCCACGTGCGAGGAGCATAGGGGCAGGCAGAGCAGCAGGAGACAGAGGACATCGGGTTCGAGCTGAACGACGAGGAGGAGCACTTCGGCGCGCTGCGGAGCGCCATGGGGGTGCCTTCCAAGAACGACGAATGGGAGAAGTGCGACGGCGAGGAGTCGGTTTTGCCCCCGCCCGCTGTCGAGGGCGAGTTCCCCTCGAGGTCGTCGACATGGAAGCGACGGCGGCAGCTGCCACGCGGCAATACGACTGCGTCGAGGCGTTGTGGGGCATCGGCGTGCAGAGGTGGAAGGGTGGCGCGGCTCATCGAGCGCTGATGGCGCGGTCATCGAGCGCTGGCGACGCGTACATCGAGCACCTCATCGGCCAGAAGACGGATGCAGTTTGGGGCGTGACTGCTCGGAAGCCCTGGGGAGGGGACCCGAGGACCCCGTCAGTGAGTGAGACAAGTGCGGTGGGCGCGAGCGCTTCGGCTCCGATCCTCCGTGGAGGGCGGGATCCTCATCATCAGCAACATCATCACCGTCATCATCAGCATTATCACCATCATCGTCATCAACAACATGATCAGCAGCATCACCGTCGACATCGTCCTCGTCATCGTCGCCATCGTCATCAGCATGATCATCACCATCCGTATCGACATCGTCGTCGTCATCGTACTCATCATCATCACCGGCATCATCACCACCACTAGCAGCACCATCATCATTATCATTGTTTTGATCTGTATTATCACTTTGCTCCCCCTCTCTTTGAGGCTGTTGCCGCCTGATCACATGGGCGCTGCGCAATCTTATTACTCTGGCGGCCATGTTGGGAGCCTCAGCGTGAGTGAGAAAAGCTGCGCCGATGCATAGACGGCCCCCCGCGGTCGTCACAGGCATAATGATCGGGCAGTGTCAGGGGGGGTCACCGCGATCAGGGTCCATTCCCATCCAATCGATCCGACTCGATGTCGATTCAGGCCAGCCCGAGCCGATCCGATTCCCTTATTCCGGCGACCCGATGTGGCCCGAGTGTCCGATTCCGGCTCCGATATCCCAGCGATCCGATCCGATGTCCTGATTCGGCGTTGACTGTTCTTGCCACCGCGGGGTCGCCACCCCTTGGGCATCGAGGCTCCAGGATCGAAGCTCGAGAAGGTTTTGTGGACGTTTGAGGTCGTCTTGGGAATCTCTGGAGCTTGGGGGCCTTAGGCTATCTCCTCGAGGAAAGGGCGTCTCCTCGAAGAAGTGGCGACACCCCTTATGGTGACCCCCCCTTGGCACTGCCCTACATGAGCTTGAGGGCTATCGGCCGCACATGGCTCAGAAGGCTACTTAGACGCAGCATGGCTGGGGTAACGCGCCCTCCTCCTGGAAGGCTCTGCAGGAAAAGGGCAAGCCCGCGAGAGGTTCGATGCAGACATCACGGCGGCTGGACCGCTGCTCGCCTTGCCAGTGCGCCTGTGACGGGCGGCGAACGATCATCCCGAAGGCGGATGTGCCTCAAAGGCTTGCTCTGGCCTGGAGCGGCGCAGTGCTGGTGCAGTTCAGGCGCGCCGGGCTACGAGGCCGCTTTGGCTTCCTGCTGCCGCCTCCTTATGCCAAAAAAATGTGTTCGCCGTCGCCTGGGCCCACTGGCCGGGCCGATCCACGCCCTGGTCGGTTTCGGAGTAGGCGTGCCCAGTGCCTTGAATTTGGGCCCTGGTGGACTTCAATCAAGCGGCGACGCCAGGGGTCTTCTTTTGACCACCCCGTGCCAGAGGACGTCGCGATGTCAGTGCTGATGCTACAGCTCGTTGAGGACACGTTCGTCCTCCAGCCAGACGAGGTGGGGCTGGCGCGGGCGAGTGCTGGTGCTGGGCTGACGAGGTTCTGCCAATTCTATATGCACCGTTTCCAAGGAGGCGCGAAAGGCCCCGCGGCCGTGACTGTGGGCGGCCTGGCCCCTGCCCAGGCGGCCTGCGGCGCAGCTAATGGGATCCCTTGCCGCCCGGCTGCAGGGCTGGAGGTTCTGGAGGTTGTAATCGACGACGCGCGCTGTCGCTGGAGCCGCTGCTGGCCCGCGTGTGCAGCAGGCTGCGCAACAAAACACGGCGCCAGGTGGCGGCGTTGTCGGGCTGCCCCTCCAGACTGGCCAATCCCTGCCCGCGTCGTCGAAGTAGCTGCTTCCCACGGAGCCGAGCTGGTGGGCGGCTATGCGCGGGGCTGGCAGGAGGTGGCTGCGCAGCTGAGCCGCGTGCGCTAGGACGTGGGAGAGGCTCTGCTGGGCCTCCCCACGCCAGCGCCCTGCGACGCAGAGGGCCACGTGCGCGCCTTCCTCGAGACGCGGTTTCTAACCAGGGCGGCCGCCAAGCTCGCGACGAGGATCATCACTCCGTGGGCCAGGGTGCTCCTCCTGCCACAGGACTCGCGGGTGGCGCTTGCGATCTAGGCGGCGCTCGGAGCCGGGGGCGGCACCGGGTTCAAGGATGCCGCGGTGGTGGGCGCAGGCATGCGAGGTGCCCGCGCCCCCAGGCCCCGCTCTGCCTGGCTGCCGCGGCAGATGCAGGGCCGAAGGTCCAGTGACATCTTAGCATCGCTCGGACGTGCGTCTCTTTCTTTATTCGGCCAGGACCGTCAAAGAACATCCTGGATCATTTAGCATCAACAAGCACTCACGATATCGAGGAATGCACGGGGAATGAACGTCCGAGCGATGGCAAGACAGTCGGTCCGCTCGTGGGCCCGCGCGGCGGTGTTGTCGAACACTGGCAGGGCGGAGCGCGTGTAATTCTGCGAGCAACTGGGCAGCCTCAACGGCACCAAGACTGTTGCCCATCGCCGAGGTGCTGCATTCGCAGAGGCGAAAGCCCGTTGGCCTTCACAGGGCGGGGCGGGGAACGCCGACGTGGAGATTTCGCTGGGCGTGGTGCGTGGAACACGTTATCGCAGAGCCCTCCTCCTCCTCCTCCTCCTCCTCCTCCTCCTCCTCCTCCTCTCCTCCTCCTCCTCCTCCTCCTCCAAGGGGCTTCTGGTGAGTTGAGGCACGCGGATGCTGGCACTGGTCCCGTGGCGGGTCCTTCGCTTGCTGCCGCTGAGCATGCGTCCTGCGAGGAGATGACCGACACCACGCGCTACGCGGCGAAGCTAGTGTTGCAGGAGCTCACGCGGCGCACCTCAACCCCTTCTCCGGCCTTGCTGTCAGCTGCTTCGTCTACCTTGTCGTCGGCGCCCTCTGCATCTACCTCACCCTCATATCTTTTTCCGCTTTCGGGCTCCCAGATGCAGGCGGCGATGGTGTTCCTTGAGGCCCAGGGCTTGCACCAGGACGAGGTGCAGGAGGCGTTGCACCTCCTCCATGAGCCTGATGCTTTTCTGGATGCTTGTGATGCGGATCACGCTGGTTTTCCCGATGCGTCTCATGAGGCTGAGGCGGTGGCAGCCTTGGATCCTGGTGCGTCCGACCCAGTGTACCTGGACTTTGCTGCCGCGCTCCAAACGGAAGACGATCTTGCCGACCAGCTTGGCGACGACGCGGAAGCTCATGTGGTGCCTGCTCTCGCTGACCCCGCTGAC